TCGAGGGCGCGATCGCGGCCCATCACGGAGGGGCGGCACCAATGCAGTCGAGGGCCAACGGCGTCCAGCTGGTCGTCGGCCCAGTCAGGGAGCCAGGGCGCGTCAGGTCTCAACCTCTACGCGATGGAGTTGCAGCCTGGTGGAGCAGAGGGCATTCGATACTCAAGCAGGCCTGCCGACATCGGCGGCGTAACAATGACAGCTTGCAAATGGGTCGTCTTTCACAAGCAGCTTTGTGGGTTTAGCGGATCAGCCGCTGGACGGAGCAGGATCTCGTTTCGCAGGCGCGCTCGGGCTTAGCTGGTCTCAATTTCTTGGAGCGCTTCGGAGTTTGCAGGTTCAGACCCTGGGCGAGCTAGTTCGGCTGGAAGAGGTGGCTTTCAAATCGGCGAGGAGAGCACAGAACCGTGCAGCCTCGGCGTCACTTCGCGACTTCCAGAGCTGGATTGGCTCGGTGGACAGTTCAGGTGCTGTACACAAGTCGATCAAAGATCTGGCTCCAGAGTTGGACGAGTACCACATCGGGGGTGAGAAGCTGGTGCGCCCGCTGGAGATAGCTGACGGCAAAATCTCGCGGTGGCATCAGTTGTGGACCTCCGAAGTGTCAGAGCACGACGACATAATGCGGGCGTGTGACTTGATTTGTGAACACGCTGAAGTGGAGCAGCTGGTACCCCTCTCCATCGAAGAGGCCAGGGGAGCCCTGGCCAAGATGAAGCCCCGCGCGGGGCAAGGGGTGGACAGGCTGTCGCCCTTGGACTTCAGCCGTCTGCCCGATCAGGCCATAGGCGACTTTGTGGAGCTGTTCGCGATGATCGAGCAGGGCCTCAGCTGGCCGCGGCAGGTGCTGTGCGTGCTGGGGCGTCTGCTCGGCGAGAAGTCGGGCGGTGATCGGTGCATCGGGCTGCTCGGCATGCTGTGCAGAGTATGGTCGCTCGCACGGGAGTCGCTGGTGCGAGGCTGGGCCGACCAGCAATATGATTATTGGGACGCTGCCCTCGCTGGGAACAGCGCCTTGAGGGAGGCGTTTGTGCGGGCGCTGGAGGATGAGGTGCAGACCTCCCTGCACCTGCCCCATGGGCAGGCCCTGCTGGACGTGGAGGCCTTCTACGGCGGCATTGAATGGCCCATTCTAGCGGACTGCGCGGTCAGGAAAGGGTACCCCCCAGTCGTGCTGTTTTTGGAGGTGCAGTTGTTCATGACACCTCGTCTATTGTCACAGCTGGACTCGTACTCGTTACCGTTTCAGGCCACGAAGTCGGTCATTCAAGGATCGCGCAGTGGCACTCGGTTTGCGAAATGTATCACAGCAGTGGTATGCGAGAAGTTGGCGATCGCTCACCCGTCGATGTCTCAGGGGATTTGGATCGACGGCTTGCTGGGGCGCGCGTCGGGCAGTCGTGAACATGTTCGAGGTACTCTGGTGAAGGCGGTCACTACCACGGTGAAGGAGTTTCGGAGGCTCAAGCTGGGCATCGCGGCTAAGAGCGTGGTGGTGTGCTCCATCCACCAGGGCGCGGTGCAGGTAGCTCGGCGGCTGCGGCGTCTCGGCATCGAGGTTACCCCTGTGCTGCAGACAGCCTACCTTGGGATCGATCTCGCTGGAGGACGTCGCCGCGGCAGGGACACCGCGCGCAAGCGCGTGAAGAAGTCGGGGGCCTCTCACCAACGGCTCCGACGCTTTGCAGCAGCTGCGAGACGGTGGTCGACCACGAGCATGATCCAGAGGACGGGCCCTCAGGCCTCGGCCTCATACGGCCACCAGGTCTTGGGCTGCTTTGGGTCGGTGATGCTTAGTCACAGGCGACGGCTAGGAGCTGCAGCGGGGTCACACAAGCGGGGGCGCTGTTTGACCTCGTTGTTAGCTCTACGCCTGCCTGGAGCTGATCCAGGAGTGGTGCTGCCGAGGCTGTGCATCGCGCAGTGGCTGGATTGCTGGCTGCGAGAGCCGCGACTTCGTCCGTCTATTCGGCTGGCGTGGTCACGTACAGTGGATAAGCTAAGCCTTGTCCCTGCTGGCCAACGGAGTCGCCACGTTCGCGGGCCAATGTCTTCAGCAGTGTTGTATTTGTTACAAGCTGGATGGATCTTGAAGTCTGCTACGGAGTGGCAGGTGCCGAGTTACGGGAGCAATATGGAGCATACATGGGAGTTTTCCACAGATGCTTTTGTTGGCCTGGACCAGGCTCGGCCACTTTTGCAGGAGTTCGAGGACACATTGTACATGCAACTCTGGGAGGAGGCAGCTGGCTTGTTTTGTGGCGGCGGCCTAGAGCAGGGCGCTGATTGGCAGAGTTATCGTGCCTACATTGCGATGCTCCTCCACGCCAAGAAGGGGCGTCAGTTGTCGGAGCTGATGGTGGCCATCGCCACGGGCGGCTACTGGACTCAGGAGCGTAAATGTGCGGCCAACCTCAGCAATTCCGACCAGTGCGAGCGGTGCGAGGAGGCGGTCGACACGCCTCTGCATCGCAATTGGTTGTGCAGTAAAAACCAGGGGTCAGCAGCATATGTTCAATCCGATTGTCTGGTCGTGGAGGCTCAGGCAGAACATGAAGCGTGTCCGTGCTTTTGGATGAGGGGGGTGATTCCCAGTGAGTGGACCCGCGTTCCCGCTCCTGCTCAGGAGGAAGCTTTTTTCGGAGGGAATCTTCCCGAGGGGCGTCTCGGTCCTGGGTGTCTCGGCCAAGGGGCTCGGGACCTGCCGTTGTACATTTTCGGGGGCGCCTCTGGGGGAAAAGATACCCATGATAATAGGCTGCGTAGAGTAGGGTGTGCGGTAGCCACGTTCAATAGCTTTGTTCCTTGTGAGCTCGGTCCGTACCTGTTAGGGCCTCTTGTCGGGCCGGCCCAAACGGTCCCCAGGGGAGAAGTTCAGGCTTTCGAATGGACCATTCGTTTCACGACTGGACCCATAGTGTACATCACTGATTGTGCCGAGGTTGCTCGAGGGTGGTACGCGTCTGCGAGTGACAGTCCCGAGGGCCCTCAGGCAGAGTTGTGGCGTAGCATCGGTCCCACCCTCGCTGCTCAGAATAGGAGTGCTAGTGATATTGTTGTCGTCCAGGTACCATCCCACATGTCCGCCAGAGAGGTCCTCCAGCGTGGGTGGGGCAGCTGGCTTGTAATCGGCAACGTTTGTGTTGATGTGCTTGCAGGGTCGGCCGCTACGATGGCCAGGGTCCCCGAGGCCGACAGATTCAGAGTGCACCAAGTCGAACGCAAGGCGAGACTAGTCAGGAGGCGTCTTCTTAGAGTAGGGTTAGATTCTATCCAGGCTTCCCAGGCCATCAAGGCCAAGGAAGGGGTTCCCCTGGCCCCGCCTGGCCCCCCTGCTCCTCGGCCTCCTCCTCCTCTCGCCCTCGCTCGTTTCGCTTCTGCCCACACCCTGACCGAAAATGGCAGAGCGTGCTCGGTTTGTTTCAGTTCGTGTTCGAAAGATAAGGAGTCCGATTGGTTGAAAAGCGCTTGCAACCCTCCCCTGCCTGTGAATGCTAAGTTATCCCGAGCCCCCCTAGGACGGAGTTTACACTTGGCAGGTGGCTGGACGCATCCCTCACACGCCCTTCGGTATCACAAAGACCTTGGATTATGGTTTTGTGGGTCGTGCGGATTTTTCGGTCAGGCCCAGCTCAGGGGCTTAGGTAATCCTTGTCGCCCCCACTTAATCACCAAGGCCAGGCGCGAGTATTTGAATCGGATCGATCGCGACCTGTTTCCCAAGTGCTGAGCTCAGCCTTCTTATCACTACGTGATGGCGGAAATCCTGGAAATCCCTCTCTCCTCCTCCTTCTCGTCGTCCTCCTCCTTCTGCTCGTCCTCCTCCTCCTTATCCTCGTCCTCTGTCTCCTCGTCCTTCTTTTCCTTCTCCTCGTCCTCCTCCTCCTCCTCCTTTCCCTGTCCTCCTTCCTTCTCGTCCGCCTCCCTCCACGTCCTCCCCTCTCCTTCTCCTCCTCCTGAGGTCGCCTTATGACTGCCTCCTCGTCCTTCTTTCTCCTTCTGGACCCTCCCTTGGGGCCGCGGAACCCCGTCGGCGACGGCCTGAGTACCGCGGCCGCCTCCCCCCCGCTGCAGCAGGGACCCAGTGCGAGTGCAGCGGCATGTGGAAGCTGTGAGCGAGGAATAGGAGGAGAAGGAGGAGGAGGAGGAGGAGGAGGAGGAGGAGGAGGAGGAGGAGGAGGAGGAGGAGGAGGAGGAGGAGGGGGAGAAGGAGGGATTCTGAGCACATTATGGATAATAACAATGCGAATCATACTAATACTATCTTGAATTACGATAGTGAGAATAACGTAATAATGCAGTACTGCTAATGATACTACTACTGTTAATAACGATAATCATGCTACTAAGCAGGGTACGGCTAAGACAGCGAATAAGAATACAGCAAGGAGGAGGACAAGGAGGAGGAGGAGGGGGAGGAGGAGGAGGAGGAGGAGGAGGAGGAAGAGGAGGAGGAGGAGGAGGAAGAGGAGGAGGAGGAGGAGGGAGAGGAGGATTAGGACCTCTAGCTGCTCCTTAACATATGGACTTCCTCGTTCTCTCATCCTCCCTATCCAGGAGGGCGGAGGACCTCCTCCGCCTCGTCCTCCTCCTCCTCCTCCTCATCCTCCTCCTCTCCCTCCCCTTTTCCTCTCGTGGAACTTCTGGAACTTCTACCTCCCCCTGTCGCCATGGCTGAACGCAGCCCAGAAAGCGGATCAGCATGGCGCCCGTCATTCGTACGGGGGGATGTGAGGCAGGAGGAGGGGAGGGGACAGCTCAAGGGGGAAACACATCGAGCTAGAGTCGGCGATGCATCGTCTGGTTTTCGAGCCATAGCTTAGGCCTCTGGCGACCGTTCTGGACTGTCCAGGCACCCCTGGACGGCTCTCGGCGACGAGCACCCCGAGGCTTGGGAAACCGCCGAGATCCGACGAGCACATCCGAAAAGCCTCGTCGGAGGAGGAATCGGAGGCGGAGTAAGAAGGCGGAGGCGGCCAGGGTGGGAGCGTTCCCCCCAGGAATTCGGTTGCGTCCAGTGGCAGCAGCGGCAAGAAGCCGCGATCGACCACGTCCTCGGCCGAGGTTCGCACGGCGATCATCCTGCCTTTTTATCTTCCCTCCCACCTTTTTCCCTCTCTCCTCCCCCGTGGCTGTCGCATGCTCTGTGCGCTTCCTCCCTCCTTGCCTGCCTCTCTCCCTCCATCCCTCTCTCGCTCCTTTCCTCCTGCCTCCTCTCGCCCTTGAAGGATTCCCGCGTGGGGTCGGAGGGTCTCGCCGCATCGCCAACGCACTGGCGATGTGGCGCAGACGTCGCTGGCGCATTGCTGGAGCATCGGCGATGCGGAGCGATCCTCCGACCCTGTCTTCGGCGGTTCAAAGACGGGGCCCTGAAGGATGGGGCCGAAAGGACAGGGAGGGGATACCAACCTTAACCTTCACTTTTTGAGGCCACGCATCCTTTAGTCCCTGAGGGCCCCATCTTTGAATCGCCGACGTCTGCCTCGGCCCTATTTGGGCGGCCTCTGTTGCCTCTTCCTCGGTTCGGACGGGGCCAGCACGAGGATGCAATCCGCTCTGGAGTGCCTCAGAACGCTCCCAGAGCGTGCTGGAAGGCTCTGAGAAGGCCGCGGCGCCCGGGACATCCTCCAGAGCCGCCGGATCTGAGATATTCTCGATTTGTCCTCACCCGATTTCAGGGGCATTGACAGGGGGGAAAGGCATAGGGGGGGATGCATCGAATCGGCAGCACGATCATCAGCAGCGGCAGCAGCAGCAGTGCTGACGGCACAATCGCCACCATCACCAAGTCGCATCGGCAGCCGCACCTGGGAGGAGCGCAGAAACGCCATCGTCGCCAGCAGCATCAGCGGCAGCAACACTCAGTAGCATGTCGTCGTCTTCGTCGGCGTCGGCGTCGTCGTCGTCGTCGTCGTCGTCGTCGTCGTCGTCGTTGTGGTCGTCGTTGTCGTCGTGGCCGTCGTGATGGTCGTCGTGGTCGTGATCTTCGCGGTTGTGCTCGTCGTGGTCGTGGTCGTGGTCGTGGTCGTCGTGGTCGTGGTCGTCGTGGTCGTGGCCGTGGTCGTCGTGGTCGTCGTCGTGTTGCGTCGGCCGGGCCTCCCCGGCCCGCCCGCGCCGAGCCGCCTCTCGAAGACTTCGGGGAGCGGCTGCGCGAGCTGAACGTGCAAGGCCGCCGGGGTCGCCTGAGGCCCGCCCGTGGGTGGAGAATCCCGCGCGCGCAAAGCACAGGAAGGCATGCGTTTGTGTGCCTCGGTGGCTTTGCGGCATGGTTGTGCTCGATCCTCCCTCCTCTTCCTCCTCGTCCTCGGCAATGGTCAATGGTGTCTCTACGGCGCTGCCACGTCCCCCCCCCCCGGAGCAGTCGCCCCCGGGAGGGAGTAGGGAGGGTCAACCTGGGGTGCCTGGTAGCGGTGGCACGCGCGCTGCGGCTCTGGGTCGGTGGGAGACGAGGGAGGCAATGTCGAAGGAGGGCGCGAACGTTATGAACATAAGCTTTTGGCGCTTCGCGCGGTTTCTTGGATGCGCGCTGGGCCCGCCTGGCGGCGCCTCAGGCGCCGCGCCTGGCGCGCTCCGCTCGCTAGGGAGGGGGGTCCAGCGCAGATCCCAGAAATCCGCGCGGAGCGCCAGAAGTTTATGCTAATGGCGTTCTTTCTTCTTCTACAGTGGTAAGAAGGGAAAAAGAAGAGGTGGGAGAGGGGAGCGAGATGGACCGCCCGAACCCTCGAGGACCCCCAGAGCACCCCAGAGAGGAGGGCTCTAGGGGGGCCCCCCTGGCCTTGGTCCCCGATAGCTGTGGCAATCGTCGGTCCTCCATTCCTCTGGTTGACCCAGAAGGGGGTCGTGCGACAAGGGGGTGGTGTAAGAGGTCTGGTGCAGTAGATTTGTGGGGTTGCAGCAGAATTGGGGCGTGCAATAGATATCGGGGCGCAAGTATATTGCCGGATTTTCGCGTGTCGTACATTCGTTGCAATACAAAGCAATACGATTCTTTGGCGCAAAACATTTGCAATACAATTTTGCCCCAAATCTATTGCACCCCCCTTTCAGCCGGACCCCCCTTGTGGGCCAACCGGAATTCCCCCCGCCCCCGTGCCGCGTGGGAGCTGGACGCCGTCTCCGAAGGGCTTAGGCGACCCGTCGTCGTCCTCCTCCTCCTCCTCCTCCTCGTCCTCCTCCTCCTCCTCCTCCTGGCTTAGAGGATTGGGCCAAGGACCTGAGGACACGCCGTTTGGTGTGCTTATTTGATTCCAAACTAGTCGCATCGTGTGGGCCATTCGTGGGGCTATTGGGAGCTTACTGAAGGCTTCCTCTGACTTTTTGAGGTTATCTCTGGGCCGTATCAGGGCGCTCCTGCCCCATGAGACGCTCTTGATTTCAAGGTTTGTGTTTTGTCGGACTCATGCTACAGTCGCTGACTTTTGAACGGTCACGACCAAATTTCAGACGGCAGACAGAAGATGGGAGACGACCAACGAGAGAAGACAGCTAACAGGCGACTGGGATTGGCGGGGGCCTCCAGAGGCTCTTGGGAGCCTCGTGTATGTGGGCTTGGTGAAACATCGAGGACGCAGGATCGACGAGGAGGAGGAGGAGGAGGAGGAGGAGGAGGAGGATGAGGAGGAGGAGGAGGAGGAGGAGGAGGAGGAGGAGGAGCAGGAGTGGGAAGAGAAACAGGAGGAGTAGGAGTAGGAGTAGGAGTAGGAGTAGGAGTAGGAGTAGGAGTAGGAGTAGGAGTAGGAGTAGGAGTAGGAGTAGTAGTAGTAGGAGGAGGAGGAGGAGGAGGAGGAGGAGGAAGCGGAAAAGGAGTGCGAGAAATTGTCACAGATTTTGGAGTGTGCTCGACAAGTGCGAGGATCGCGATGGACGGCCAGTTGGCTGCTAGGGGACGGCGATCCCGCCCGAGCGTTGCCATGTGGATAGGAGGACGGCAATAGGAGTGTGGCGACCAATTGATGGGGCGCTGGAAGCGCGAAGGGCGTACAACGCGCCCAGTGCTCCGACAAATCGGCTTTCGGGTCCAAGCGTGCACCGGACAACGACGTAGGATCCTCGGCCGAAGCTGGTCTGGGAGCTCAGGCTCACGCTGCCTTTCTCGTCGAGGGCCTCTTGCTGATGGTCGTGGTGGACTATGTCGGCGCCGCGGCTGGTGGTGAGGCTCATGGAGGTCTATGGCCAGTGCCTCGTGGAATTCTTTTGTGACGTAGCTTTGTGCCCGCGTTCTGGCCTTCCGACATGCCCTCGGCTTCTATCTCAAGGCCCGTAGTGGTGGTCGCGCGTTCCGCTACTGTGCTCTCGCCGTCCTGCTTTCCTCAGTCCGCCATACACTCGCCATGTTCGGCGCTCGTCTTGTGCCCCGATTCGTGTTGTTGGATTCTGTATGATCGGTGGCATCTTGGACTCCTCAAGCCGCACACCCTCGCCACGTCTTTTCCGCCCCAGGCTCCCGCGATGAGCATCGTGCCGAGGAGCTCGACCGCTTGCCTGTTGCGCCCTCCTCTGCCTCCTCCACCTTCGCACGGCAGGCGGGTCCGAGAGCGGCGGGGGCCCAGGCGAATGGCCCGAGAAGCGCAGGCGGCGCTGCCAGTGTGAAGAGCCGGATGCCACGCGCCTGGCATGTTGCCCGTGCGTGCTTCCGCGGGGTCGGCAGGGCGTCGGCTCCGTGCGGGAAGTGGAAGGTGCAGAGCGGGGGCCACGGCCTTCCCACCCTTTGGGGACGAGCCCTCAAATCTGGCGGCCACGGCGGAGCAGGAGGGCAAGGTGAAGGGGGGGGGAGGAGGAGGAGGAGGAGGAGGAGGAGGAGGAGGAGGAGGAGGAGGAGGAGGAGGAGGAGGAGGAGGAGGAGGAGGAGGAGGAGGAGGAGGAGGAGGAGGAGGATGAGGAGCGGCACTGGGGACGACGTCCGCAGCGGAAGGGCACGGCCCGCTAGCTCGCGAGCTCCGAACAACACGAGGAAGGACGTATCGATGCAGACCTCGATCTCGAGGCGCAGCCACGCCGACAGCTGCCGCCCCAGCGCCGCGAGACGTCCTCGGCCGTCACGGACGTTCCGAAGAGCCCCACGGCGCTCCCCGCCTCGCCAGCGAGCGAGGCTCCAGGCGACTCACGACTGGGGAGCACCAAAACGCCAGGCAGCCCAGGGCGGCGCGGGGGCGGCCGCACAGGCAGAACATCCGCCCAAACGTCGTTCATGACGCTGACCTTGCCCGTGCCCTTGTCCTTGCCCTTGCCCGAGGCTGTGCTGGAAGGCGGGCCGCCGTCCCGCTGCACCAGCGGCAGCTCGTCGGCCCATGCGTCGTCCTCCAGCAGCGGCGCAGGCGGTGCAGCGGCCCCCGCATCCGCATCTCCAGCAGCCCCAGTCTCCAAGTCCATGCCTTCAACGGCGTCGCCATGCTTGTCATCCGCTACCTCGCCCGTCTTGCCGCCGCGGCCACGGGGCCGCCGCCGCCGCAGAGGAGCAGCAGCGGGCCTCGCCTGGGCGCCACGGCAGGCGCGGATGAGGATTGAGGAGGAGGAGGCGGAGGAGGAGGAGTAGTGGGAGGAGGGGGAGGACGGGGAGGAGGAGGAGGAGGAGGAGGAGGAGGAGGCGGAGGAGGAGGAGGAGGAGGCGGAGGCGGAGGCGGAGGAGAATGAGGAGGAGGAGGAGGAGGAGGAGGAGGAGGAGGAGGAGCACGATGAGCAGGCAGGCATCCTTTCTTTTCCTTGTGCGCGGGAAGGGTTTGGGCCAGCCGATGTGGGTCAGATCGATGTTGTGAGGTCCTGCCATGCAACCTGCAGGCATCTTGGGCCTGGGCCGTCTTGGAGGCCATCTGGGGGGGGCGCGGTGGCCCGGACGGCCCCGGGTGAGCCGGTCCCCCGGTCGGCGGCGGCCTGCCTCCCCCCCCCCTCCAAGGCGCAACGCGGGGCCTGGTGGTTGGGGGCCGGGGGGAGGCAGAAATGCAGGGGGAGGAAGCGTCCCACACGCATGGGGACCCCAAGGGGGTCGGCGGATTTGCACTGCACCGCATTGCGCTGCTCTGCAGTGTTGTGCTGCACTGCTCCTTGCAATTCTTTTGCGTTGCTCTAGGTTTCTCTCCATTGCCACTGCATCCGCTTTCCAGGGCAATGCTTTGCATTGAACTGCCATTGCGACGCATTGCATTCCTCGCACGGCTTCGCAAGGCGCTGCATTACTTCGCATTGAATATGCATGTGTCTACCCTTGTCGGTAAGACGTGTGTGTTCGGTCCGTGTGCTTGCTACCTTTTCAACTCAGGTTCAATGGGTACGTACATTCGTGGAGCTTCGAGCTTGTCACCGATTGGGCCTCGCTAGAATCCAAGCGCGCGTCACGCGCGCGCAGCCTTCCATTATTCGGCAACCCGAGTCGTGTTGACGACGATGAGGGTCGTGGAGGAAAGAAAGAGGAGGACGGCTGGCTGGTGTCTCGAAGGCAGACTGCGGGTCCCACGGGGAGCAGGTGGAATGCAGCAGGATAAGAGCCATTATAGGGGATATGAGTTGTTTCGAGTGAAGATCAAAGTGGGAAGTTCATGCCAAGATACGCCAAGCCTGTGCACTGCGGCACTGCGCTCGCATTTGTTTTTTATTTGACCACGGCTTGGATTGTGAGTTCTGGACATGCTGCTGTATCATTCGAACGTGCGATCGCGGCGTGCATAGGGTGAGACGAGCAAGGAGACGGGAGGTCACAGGCTTGCGAAGCAACGACGATGCACACCGTGTCTTGAATAACCTTCATGCACACGAGGATGCACATCGTGTCTCGCTCCCCCTCCTTCATGTCTGCTCCGCTTCCTCCCTGCCTCCCCCTCCTCATCGCTGGAATTTCTCGACCGATCTGCGACACGTCGGCGCACATACTCAAACACACGATCCCCGAGGCAGTTGATGCTGGTGAACATCAACTCCTACGCGGCTGGACTGAATGCGCTCTCCTCTTCTTCCTGGAAGCGTTTTGTCGTCGACCGATCTTGCGCCCTAGCTCCCCCCCAGTTCCTTGCTGACCCCTCTGCCCAATCAGCCACAAAGATCATCCTCCCTGCGACCCTGCTGCTGTTCCTTTCTCTTCATGCCATTATTGTCCCTATTCTCCTTGTCCTCTCCCTGCTCCTCCCTCGTCAAGTCTCACTCGTCAATCTTTAGCACCCATCACCACAAGAAACGTGAAAAGGGCGGGTGAGGAGGAGGAGGAAGAGGAGGAGGAAGCGAAACGGGTGGGAATTCGGGCTGTTACCGACGGCGCGCTAGGGGAGAGGTACATGGGGGAGGGGGATAGCCCAATGCGTCACGCGCCGTATCACCCCTGGCAAGCGGGGGTCGGATTTTCAGGTCAGTGTTCACTGAATGAGTTTGCCTGCTGCAGGTCGGTTCCGCTGGCGTTCCCTGTTTGCCTGGCGATCCTTGGGTCTGTATTTGTGGTTGATGCCAGATTGTGAGGAGATGTGTGATCGCTGTCGGGAGAACGAACGAAGATCGAGGTTCTTTGGCGTGTTTGGCCAACATGAGGAGGAGGAGGAGGAGGAGGAGGAGGAGGAGGAGGAGGAGAGGAGGAGGAGCAGAAGGAGGAGGAGGGGAGGAGGAGGAGGAGGAGAGGAGGAGGAGGAGGGGAGGAGGAGTGGTAAGCAGGGGGTGAGGGGGACCAGGAGAGATGGGGTGGGCGAGGAGGGGGGGGAGCGGGGTCCAGAGTAGCAGGAAGAAGAGGATGAGGACGGGGAGGGGGGTATCCCCCTCCCCTTCTTTCTGCCGCACCCCCCACTCTTCTCCCTCCCCCGCCCCCTCCCCCCCTATCGATACAGTCTCTCTGCTTGCAGTTTGCTCTTGGAGTGTCCCTCTCCCTTTGACCCTTCTCTCCTGTCTCTTGAGGGGCGGGGGCGGTGTGGCACCGCTTTCCTGCATGCGTGTACGAGCCAGGCAGTTGTGATGCGGCGTCCACGGGGCAGGTGTGAGGTGTGAGCTGCGGGGAGGGGGGCGGGGGCAGACGAAGGCGGAGGGAAGAGCGGGGAGAAGGGAGGTCCGATGATGGGGGAGACGGGAAGTCGGAGGACCGCTGGCGAAGACGATCCCTGGCGAGGGCGGCCGCCGGCGAAGACAACCCCAGCGAAGACGACCGCCGGTGGATACGGCCGCTGGCGAAGACGACTGTGGCGAAGGCGACGGCCCTGGCGGCGACCGCCGGCGAATACGATTCGTGCCGGGAGGAGGGGGGAGGGGGCCCCAGGGGGAGGCGAGGAGAGGCACGGAGAGGATGGGCCTCTGGCGCGAGGGGAGGGACGTGCTCCCGGGCGGCGGGCTCCGCGCGCCAGGTGCTCCGAGAGAGCGCACTGCTGGCGCCTCCCTCTGCCCGAGACGGCATCCTGGAGGCCATGGGGCGGGCGCGGGGCGCGGGGCTCGGGGGCAGCGCCGGGCTCTCAGGGCGGGACGACGGGCTCGAGGTTCGAGCTGTGGGGCGTCTCTCTGCTCTCCGGCCGCGGGCTGCGTATGGGGCCACGAAGCGCTGTGCT